CATGTTTTTTTTTCTTTTGCTTTTCATGCACTCCGTCTCTCCTCCTCACTTATGTCCTTTATCTTCCTGACCCGGGTCCACAAGTCTGCTTATCCTCAACATGGAAACTCTTCTCCCTCAACGCACATGGTCTGAATATTCCGGAGAAACGCTTCCGCCTCATACATCAGGCTCACCGGTGTAGGGCCCATGTAGTTTTTGTTCAGGAAACACATTTTGGCCAAAAACTCACTAATCATAGATACCCTGTAGCATATCATTCTACTAGTCCGCTACGGAAAGCTAAAGTTGTCTCTTTTTTTTTTTATTTCTTGCCACGCTCCTTTTGCCTTACATGAAGAACTTATAGACTCAGAAGTCATATACCTCTTCCTGAAAGGTAGGCTACATCACATTATAATTACTCCTAGCTAATGTTTACTGTCCTAATAAACGGCAATCTTCTTTCATAGCCAATGTGGTTAATTTGCTCAAAGGTCTTCTGGTCCTGGGCAGTGATTTCAATGTTCCCCTCTATCTGTGTTTGGATTCCTCATCTGTATCCTCCTCCTTACCTTTCTGTTCTCTACACTCCATTAAGAGGAGCCTATCGTCCCTTGCCCTACACGACTCATGGAGAACCCTACATTCTTCCACTAAGGACTTTACCTTTTACTCTGCCCCTTGTAAGAAGTATTCAAGTCTGGACTATTTATTTCTTTCACAGAAAGATCTCTAGTGGCTTTTATTGCTTGGAACACTCAATGGAGGAAAGCTCACCAACGGCGTACAGCGGACCAGATTAGGACTTTAGAGCAGGCACATAAAAAATCTCTGGATAACAGTGACCTTACGAACTTAACTTCCCTATGCAACCAATTGAAAGAGCTTGTTGATGGAAAATTTCTTGCCAGGACGCTGAAAGAGAAGCAGGTTACCCACACAGTAGAACAAATTCATGACCACTGGGGTGTCCCTTACTCTAAGACGGAAGACCTAGCAGCTCAATTGTGCGCGTATTATGAAAAACTATTCCGCTTGCAGTACTCTCCCTTATCACAGTCGGCTCGTGTGACCCGTACTTTTTTAAGTTCATTCCTTTCTGCAAACTTCTAGCCCCTCGCCTTTTCCATCTGACCAGGCGCAGGCTCTTGAAAGCCCTATTACTGGTGAGGAGCTGGAATTTGCCCTGAAATGCCTGTAAACCAGAGAAAAGCTTGAGTCCCGACAGCCTTCCTGTGCAATATTACAAATCATCCTCGTCCCTTCTTTCTCCACACTTTCTGTCCGCCTTTAACCCTCTGGCTGACACTCCACGACGTCCTTCCTCACACCTACGCGAACCTCCTAATGTAGTACCTGATATATATATACGCACGCACTATATTGCCAAAAGTATTGGGACACCCCTCCAAATCATTGGATTCAGGTGTTCGTGAAATTTCCTTGCTACTACATATTCCACGGTCAACTGCTAGTGGTGTTATAACTAAGTGGAAGCAACTGGGAACAACAGCAACTCAGCCACGAAGTGGTAGGCCACATAAAATGACAGAGCGGGGTCAGCACAGGCTGAAGTGCACAGTGCGCATAAATCGCCACCTATCTGCAGAGCCAATAGCTACACAACCTCCAAACTTTGTGTGGCCTTCAGATTGGCACAACAGTGCTTAGAGAGCTTCATGGAATGGGTTTCTATGGCTGAGCAGCTGCATCCAAGCCTTACATCACCAAGTGCAATACAAAGAGAGAGATGCAATGGTGTAAAGCATGCCGCCACTGGACTCTAGAGAAGTGGAGACGTGTTCTCTGGAGTGACGAATCACACTTCTCTGTCTGGCAATCCGATGGACGTGTCTGGTTTTGGCAGTTGCCAGGAGAACGGTACTTGCCTGACTGCATTGTGCCAAGTGTAAAGTTTGGTGGAGGGGGAATTATGGTGTGGGGTTGTTCTTCAGGGGTTGGGCTTGGCCCCTTAGTTCCAGTGAAGTGAACTCTTAAGTCATCAGCAAACCAAGGCATTTTGGACAATTCCATGCTCCCAACTTTGTGGGAACAGTTTGGGGATGGCCCCTTCCTGTCCCGACATGACTGCACACCAGTGTACAAAGCAAGGTCCATAAAGACATGGATGAGCAAGTTTGGGGTGCAGGAACTTGACTCAGTCCTGACCTTAACCCGATAGAACACCTTTGGGGTGAATGAGAGCAGAGACTGCGAGCCAGGCCTTCTCGTCCAACATCAGTACCTGACGTCACAAATGCACTTTTGGGAGAATAGTCAAACATTACTATAGACACACTCCTAAACCTTGTGGACAGCCTTCCCAGAAGAGTTGAAGCTGTTCTAGCTGCAAAGGGTGGGCCAACTCAATATTGAACCCTACGGACTAAGACTGGGATGCTATTAAAGGAGAACTATGAGGTGAGTGAAAAGCACTAGCCGACCTGTGACAAAGAGACTGTCACAGGTCGGCTCAGTAGATCGGGAGGTGAGCGAAAGGCAGAGCCAGCTGTCAGTCACACAGCTGGGCAGATCCCGGCACAATTGTTGGGATCCGCTTCAGCTGCGGCGTCTCAGTATACCGCAAGCTACAGCTCGCGGGATACTCGCGCTAGGGTGAAAGTTCATGTGCCTGTAAAGGCAGGCGTCCCAATACTTTTGGCATTATAGCGTGTGTGTGTGTGTGTGTGTATCATACACACAATCTATTTTACTGTTGATATTTATTGCACCATCACTTTATTACCTATTTCATCAGAGCACCTTGCATTATTTATTATAGCTTGGGATTAAGATTGGAGTTTATATTGCTGGATTTATGGTAGATTATTGATACACTATTTATTGCACACTTTAGTATATAGTACACTAGGGTGTTACATTTTTCCAAAGATGTGATTTTTATATGACTTTGCTTACGCCCCGAGTCCCGAGTGAACGCTCTTAAGGTTGTCAATGATAACGCAGAAAGAGGAATTGCTCTGATAAAAAAGTATAACGAATCGGTCAGGGATGAACAACAAAAACAATTCTTGTTGAGGGTAGTCAAGCATCACAGAAAAGTCGTCACCAAGCGAACAAAACAAGGGATTGCATTGTTCAAAGTTGATTAATATAACACATGTTTTGCCTATCATATTACCTATTAATCTTAGTGTATAGTTTTAATAGTATTTTAAGTTTGTGACTTCTGGTTTTCCCAATAAAAGTAATTAACATTGAAAAATCTTATTTTTTGCCTACTTTTACAAAACAGATAAGTGTGCAACCTGTAAATATTATCCAATCTTCTTGAAATTTAGCATATATATCTTTTACATCACTGAGACTCGGGGCGTAAGCAAAGTCTGCAAAAATTTTACAGTTTATTTTTTGCCTTAGAAAATGAAACGCCTTATAGTACACGGATTGTGAACACATACAGCTCTTACACTAAGTAAAGATCAGAGTGTGGCACGTTTTTGAGTATGATTTCATAATTTCTATCTGGAATCCAGATTTAGTGCTTGCAGCTGTGGTGAGGATGAAGCTGTTTCTTTAACCCTTTCGCTGCCAAGGACGTATGGCATACGGACCTACAAAAGTGCTTCCAGCTGGCCAGCTTCGTATGCCATACGGACCTGGCATTTACAGTTCTACTATAAGCTTATAGTAGAACTGTTCAGCAGACTGTCCCCTTTAAATGAATAGCTGTCATCAGCGGCTCACAAGCCGCTGATGACTGCTATTATCAAAAATACCGGGCACGCCGGCATCTGGAGTCTCTCATCCCTCCCTGGAGCCATCCCAGGGAGGGATGAGAGACTTCATGGATTCCCAAAAATGGCTTGGCCAGCTGATTTGAAAAATGTTCCGGAGGGCTTGGCAGCGAAAGGGTTAATATAGGCTTACAGTAGGACTTGGTTTCTATGTTGTACAGCTGCTGTTGTCACCTGCTACCTCCAAATGCACTTTAACAAAAAGCCAGCTCTGATCTGGCTTGCAGAGAGATGCCAGTCCTCAGAGTGGGACATATATGCATTGGAAACGGTCATTATTTTGACAGCTCCTCGTTCATAGGTTGCTAGGGCATTGGGTTGCTGGATTCCTAGCAACCAATTATGCATGCTCGACTCCACTCAGCTTTATGCATGCCTGACTCCACTCAGCTTTTGACCAGGAAATTCCCCAGCTGAATGCAAATAAAGGTGCTGCCTGATTTAATTGCCCAGATCAGGTACGCTCTGATGTTCATTGACAGCAGGCAGTGTGCAGGTGCCATAGCCAATAGCAGGCTGGCTATGGCACCTGCCAGCTGCCAACCAGCAGCAGAGAGGACTTGATGGGGAAATCCCCATCAAGCTCCACCCACTGTTAGCATCACTGTTAGCTAATGACGCTGTCTACTGTAGCAGACAGCTTCCTTAACAACCAGTGACGTCCAGCACTGTGACAGAAAAAAATGTTAATTGTGCATGTTTGGTTTAAAGGTTTGCCTTGTCTGGATAAGTCCATTTCCAGTAATGATTTTCTTGCAGACCTATGGAAAACTGTTTCAGTTAGCTTCCCAAGGTTGCAGGCGCTTTTATTTAAAAAACTGTTGCATTGACTTTGCAAACTAAAATACAGCCTGATTTCTATTTAATTTCATTGCTACATGCTTCCCTCCTGTACCTATAGAACATAAAAAGATTGTAAATTACCATAATGGTGGGGTGGTGGGGAAAGAATAATATAGTATTAGTTTGAAAACACCTATGTTGCACATTTTGACCTTTTTACAGTTGTGATCTATTCCAAGTAAATGTTGCATTTTTGTCTTCTAGAGCAAGCCTCTAAATGTAGAGTACTTGATGATGGACGAATCTATTCTACTCCCTCCAACTGGAACACCATTGACAGGCATAGATTTTGTTAAGCGCCTTCCTTGTGGAGATGTTGAAAGAACTCGTAGAGTAAGTTGCTTCCTGTTCTTTTGAATCCGTAATGATCTAAAATTTCACATAAAACAGTGCTTGCACCTAAACTGAGAATATGGAGGCTGTCATTGATTACTTTTCAAAATGTAAGTTGGTGGTTTCTGGTTCCGGCGCCGGATGGTCTAGACGGATACCTTAGAGCTCTGTCCCGCCCCCATAAACACACAATTTAACTGCCTATTATCAACTACTGCTGAACCCAGAAACAATCTCCACATCCTCCTTACATCATGGACAAATACCTGGCTCATCCACAAATGGCCCGGCAGTCCTTATCAGCTCAGCCGGAAATCGATCGGGACCCGAACAAAATGATGTTGGAGTACGCGCCGTAGAACGAGACTGCTGGGGATTTGGAGGGCGAGTCAAACTAGCCTTGACAGTGGCATCCTATCTGAGATCAGATATTGCCTCCAAAATAGCAGAATCCATACAACAACATATGGGATCTTTCAGCACTGCTCTTAAGGCCTAAACAAACCGGATGCGGGCCAGGGAATTGAGAGTCAATGACATTGAAGATCACGCTGCTGATTTCCAATGTTTCAAGCACAATTCCTCTAACTCTATGCAATTTCCATCTGACAAAGTCGACAATTTAGAAAATCGAGCATGCAGGAATAATCTGTGTTTTGTGGACCTTCAAGAATGGATAAAGCGGATAAAGCCCACTGATCTCCATAATTTCTGCTCCACTATTATCCCCCAGTCACTGGATCTCACTTCGCCATGCAAAGTGGAGAGGGCTCATAGAATTGGTCCTCCCCCTGATTTTGCAGCAAACTTATCTCCTGGTGGCGAGAATATATGTCTTTATAATATTGAACATTGTTCTGATGATGTATTATTTTGGGAAGCGGCGAAAGCAGTGATAAGAGGTAGAATGTTGGCTTATGCTTCCTCCCAAAAGAAATTAACAGGGCAGGAGTATGTTGAGGCTTGCGCGGCAGCCAGATCGGTTTATATTCAATATAAACAAAATCCCAAGCCCTCTAATAGGTTAGAATGGTTCCAAGCTAAACAAAACTGTGACCACTGGATCTCTCAACTTGACATGCAAATCCACTCTCGTAGAGAAGTAGACCTCTTTAAATTTGGAAATAAAACTGGGAAATTACTAGCGAATTTGGCCAGAGGGGTCAACCCAATGACACATATAACTCGTTTGATTGATGATAAGGGTGAGACACACTCTGATTCAAATACTATTATTCTGCTTGCTGGCTCCTCATTCTTGGATTCCATATCCCTTCCCTCCTTGTCTACTGAGGACCTGGAATCTCTCAACGCTGAAATTACTCGTCAGGAAATTCTAGAGACCATTTAGCTATCCCCTTCTTCCAAAGCTCTGGGTCCTGATGGTCTGACCTTAGAATTTGTAAAAATTCTTTTGGATGAAATTACCCCCACCATGGCCTCTCTATTTAACCACGTTATGACCTAGAAACAATGTTCTCCTACATTTCAGGCTGTTTATATAAGATTGATTCCAAAAAAAGTAAAGACCCTCTTCTCCCTAGCTCTTATCACCCTATTTCTTTACTAAATCAAGCCGCAAAATTATTGTCAAAAATCTTAGCTAACAGACTGGCTGCCGTGCTTCCCAAACATATTTCTACAGACCAAGCCGGATTTGTGACTGGCCGCTCAGTGGTAATGAATGTTAGAAAAATTAATACTGCCTTGGAAGGGATACATCTCTCTGCCTCTTCTTCACGTCATATGGCCTTTATTGGCATTGGACGGGGAGAAAGCCTTTTGACAATGTTAACTGGAATTGGCTATCATTAGTCATGCAGCGCTTGGGTTCCCCGGGCTCTTTTTTGAATTCTATCTCTACAATTTACTCTTCCTCCAACTGCCGAAATCTACACCTCCTCTGCCTTGTCACCTCCTTTTACCCTACACAAAGGCACTCAACAAGGCTGTCCTCTCTCCCCATTACTATTTAATCTGGCATTGGAACCCCTGTCCCGTTCTCTATCTTCCCTCCCTTTGTTTCACGGATATTGTGCAGGCCCAATTGACATTAAAAAAGCACTGTTTGTCAATTACATTGTTACTCCTCTCTGACCCGATTACTCAACTCCCAGCCATTCTGAATCGTATATATACATTGGGATCCTTCTCCGGCTTTAAACGTAATATAGATAAATGCGAATTATTACCTCTGATCTGAGATTCCCAATTTATCTCTACACTTTAAACATTCTATTCTACCTTGCCAATTGAGACTTCATTCACTCACATACATGGGTATCATTATTCCCCATCTCACAACAGAGTTATACTCTCTCAACTATACCCCAATCATCCGTAAAATAATACAAGAAATGCATTCTTGGCACAAACTTCCTCTCCCTCTCCTAGGTAGAAGACATATGCTCGTGGAAGACATATGCTGGGCGGATTTTTTTCATCTCTCTCCGGGAAGACACACTATCTGTCATTGAGCAGAGTTGGATCCAAATTAGGAAGTCTATGACTAGTGAATCATGGAGACAAATCCAGTTTAAAATCATCCATAAGCAGGGGCGGACTGACAACACATGGGGCCACCGGGCAATATGAGAGTATGGGGCTCCTTGTGCTCCGCCCACATACAAGCCCCAACCGCATATATATTGCTGCATCCCTCTTCCTACACTGCCCACCTCTGCACCCCCTGCATCCCTCTTCCTACAATGCCCACCTCTGCATCCCTCTTCCTACAATGCCCACCTCTGCATCCCTCTTCCTACAATGCCCACCTCTGCACCCCCTGCATCCCTATTCCTACAATGTACCCCTTCCTACAATGGTACCCTCTGCCCCCCCCTCATCCCTAATACAAGCATCTTCCCCTCTTCACCCCCTGCATCCCTATTCCTACACTGCCCACCTCTGCACCCCCTGCATCCCTCTTCCTACACTGCCCACCTCTGCACCCCCTGCATCCTTCTTCCTACACTACTTACCTCTGCACCCCCTGCATCCTTCTTCCTAGACTGCTTACATCTGCACCCCCTGCATCCCTCTTCCTACACTGCCCACCTCTGCACCCCCTGCATACTTCTTCCTACAGTGTCCACGTCTGCACCCCTTGCATCCCTCTTCCTACATCATTTACCTCTGCACTCCTTGCATCCCTCTGCCTACATTGTCCACCTCTGCACCCCCTGCAACCTTTTACTAATGCTTCTCACATCTGCACCCCCTTCCTATGCTGCTTGGCAGGAGTGCAGAGGTGAACACTGTAGGAAGAGGGATGCAGAGGGTACAGAATTTAACGGTGTTGGAAGAGGTTGTGCAGTGGGACTCCTCCTCCAATACATGAACTTCACGTCAGGAACACCAGAGCGAGAGGTGGGTCTCTAATCAGGTGACTGTTTGCTGGGTCCTCAGCAAACCTCAACGAGTGGGGAACTCAACCTCAACGAGTTTCTGCATAATTTGCCTGCTGAATTGTGCTTGGTCACCTATTGCGGAGCCGTATTCAATACTGATTGGTCCCTGCGCAAGATTTTGTTGATGGGCCCTCACAAACCTCCTGCTTTCATTCCCCCATTTCCCAGCCAGTATCCACTTACATCACCTCCCCCGAAAATAAAATAAAAAATATATGTATACACACACATACTGTGTGTGTGTATGTAAATATATATATTATATATACATTATATATATACAGGGCTCGAAAAATGCACTCGTCCACTCGTCTGTGACGAGTGGACGCCAGTGCTGGACGAGTAGATCGTCCGTTCCGCCAGTTAGCGCTGGGGGGGAGGGGGGAATCCAGCCCCTCCCCTGTCACGGCAAAGAGCCATGACAGGATCGAGAGGTGAGTGAACGCCGGTATGTGTTCGCTTACCTCCCGATCTACTGAGCCTACCTGTGACAATGTCATTGTCACAGGTCAGCTAGAACTATGAGGTGAGTGAAAAGCACTCACCTCATAGTTCTCCTTTAACTGGAGTTTTTTTTACTATAATAAGGAAAAATTACCTGAAAAAAAACAGTTTTCCCTATATTAAATTATAAAACATTACCCAATTTTTTGGTAAAATATAAAAGACGGGGTCATGTCGGGTAAAAAGGCACTAATCATCAGGGCTCGCAAAATCCACTCGTCTGTGTGAGAGGACGGCGGAGCCCGACGAGCAGCTTCCCGGCCGTTGTAATTACACGGGCGGCCGGGAGCTTAACACACTCAAGCGATCGAGCGTCTCTAAAGACGCTCGATCGCTTGTGTCAGCAGCTGTCATTGCCGGTCCCGGGATCCGCTGTGCCCGATGCGGCTGGGACCGGCACGGCTCTGTGACAGGAGATCAAAGCTAGTTCAGTATACAAACTCCCTTTTGATCTCCTCTCAGTTCGCCGAATGCAGGAAGTGATGTATTGTGCATACTGTATGCACCTGTCGGTCCCCGCAGTTGTTACGCTGCTGCAGTGGATGAGTCCAGTGTATCGCAAACAATACATATTTGCTCTCCATACATTTTCAGGTCTATCTAAAGTCAGTCACTGTAAAGTCTCTAATGTCAGTGTGTCAGAGTAAATTTAGGCAATGTCCAGAACAGAGAGACTCACTTTTGTTGGCTGCCCAGGTGTCCTGTGTCCCCTCCACTGCCCGGCCGCTCTCTTCTGAAGGTTTTCATATTGAGCGAATCAGTGGAGCACAAGACGGCTTCCCAAATGCTGTATTCCAGCTCAGAGCCGACTAGCTCCGCCCATTCCCTGCCTCTCATTGCCGCCCATTAATCCTAACACGGCTCATTACACCACTTAATGCAAGAGCGGTGTTGATTTTGCGGAGCGGTGCGCACCCTGTCTACCGGCTGGCGGCCGCCCCCATCCATGCACTCGGACAGCCGCAAAGCCAACTGTCGGCAGCTCTTGCCCCAGCCCCCTTCCGGCCGCGGGCCCTCGGGCAATGCCCGATAGGTCAGTCCGTCCCTGTCCATAAGGCTTACCATTCTTTCAATATCCCTTCCAAA